TTTTTATTAATTTTAATAAAAAATGCTGTGTCCGACTTTCGGGCGGCATTTTATTATTAAAAATTAAACTTTTTTAATAATAAAATGCTGCCTGCGTCTGACTTTCAGGTGGCATTTTATTATTAAAAATTAAACTTTTTTAATAATAAATGCCGTGTCCGACTTTCAGGCGGAATTTTATTATTAAAAATTAAACTTTTTTAATAATAAATGCTGTGTCCAACTTTTGGGCGGCATTTTATTATTAAAATTAAACTTTTTTAATAATAAATGCCACATCCGACTTTCGGGCGGAATTTTATTATTTAAAATTAAACTTTTTTAATAATAAATGCCGCGTTCGACTTTGGGGCGGCATTTTTATTTCAAATCCAACAAATCGGATCTGAATCCAAATCCAAATCCGACAGATTGAATCTGAATCCAAATCCAAATCTGTCAGATTGAATCAAATCCAAATTCAAATCTGATCCGGATCTGACAGATCAAATCAAATCAAAATCTGGATACAAATCTGATTCGAATCTAATAAATCTGATTCAATCTGATCTGTCAGATTCAAATCAGATTCAGATTGAATCAGATTTTTTGCAGAACACTATTTCTAGATGACAAACATTGTTGTAAGGTTAGTGAACTTGGATTTCTAGTTGTTGCAGTAGAGAGAGGAAAATAAGTAGTGGTCATTAAGAATACTACATTTATAGTTACAGATTATGATTTCACTAAAATGGGAATCATACTAAGTGTAACAATGATATGTAACATATCTGAATTAATTAATGGCGATTTCTATACAAGAAAAGTATATATTGGATTAAAAGATCCAATCTTTCAACCTTTCTCACCTATTCGTTATGCAACAGAGTTATATAACATTCTTCTTAAAGGAGAACTTGACAAACTTGTGTTGTATCTCTATATGAATGGTGAAGCAGATCATCAGTACACATATGTTCGTATTTAATTATTATATATTTGTCTTTTTTTTGCGTTAAATCTTGATTATTTTGTTACTGTTCAAACCCTATCACAACATTCATGAAAAAACCCTGTTAAACGTATTATATCGATTCTGAACCTTTAATCTTTCAAAGACAATTCCTTCAAAACATTTACTATAGTATCAGAAATGAAAATAGAGATATTCTGAGAAACGATTCAGCTTATGATTGATAGTATTACCTATAAAGATCGCATTGCAGAACAAATAAAATGGAAGGTAAATATAATACTGATTGAGTTATTTCATAAAAAATGATCTTGACTGCTTGATTAACTTATCTTTGTCTAAAGTTACGTTTACAAGAGTTCATAGAATACTATTGCATATCAAGGCATTACTTCTTTTCAATAAAAAAATATGATGAATCTGCTTGTGTCATTTGTCATCCTTCTCATTATTTGTCAGAAGATTTTGAACAACTTTCAGATCCAGTATCTGGAGAAGACTTGCATTACAAATTATTTGAAGAATTGTATGATAAACAAACAACAGAAAATCATAGACCTTCGCTTAAAAATGCCAAGATAAAAATAAAGGGTAAAATGAAAACTACAAAAACAAAACATATTATACCATTTTGCCCTTCTGCTGCACATGCGAAAAATGTTAGTATTACTATAAATTGCATTGAATGTGAGAAGCTGCGTCTTTTATTCAGTGCAAAAAAACTTTCTGAAAAGAACAAAATGATTCTGTGAGAATTTTTGGATACAACTGTGATATGTTTTTCGTAATATTTGTGATCTTACAATAACTATACTACGAAAAAACCAGACATACAAAATGATACAGAAAATAAGATGGATGAAAAGAATGACTGTGACGAAAATGAGCACAAGCATAAAGATTCAGATTCAGATGAAGAGTCTGATAATGCAAAAGAAAAGTCTGATAGTGCAAAAAAGAATCTAATAATATGAAGGATTCTATTTACGAACTTTTTTCAAGAGTTTATGTTAATGACTCATAGTCGTGTTTATCTCAAGTTGAGAGATTTATTACTCAACTAAAATCTACCCAGACGTCTATATTGAATGTGAAAGTATAAATGTTAATAGATTAATAGAAGATGAATACCATGTTGTAGCAATTGTGATAAAGATACTACTGTCTCAAATGGAAGCAAGATAGTAAAGGAAAGAAAAAATGTACAAAAACTTAACTTTCTCTACTGTGATAGGATTTTATGTTTTGAATCTAATAAAGAATATTATTTCGAATCGTTCGGTCACGTGACATTAACGTGGAGCATTTTTATTGGTTGATTATAAAAAATTAAAATTTCAGAATCCTATCTAATTGACCCGGTGTCGCCTTAATATAAATTTATTATAATAAAGATAGATATTTTAAATTTATTATAGTTTTTATTCAATATAACGATAATTATCTTAAATAGATTTCAAAACGCGAAAAAATATTGTCTATTCCAATAAATATACTTGATACTTTTTACCCATCCCTTTTGATGATGTATCTCGACATTCTTCCACTAAGAGGTTGGATATTTCCGAAGAGTAAACATTATGGTCTGGTCGTCTTTTCCCGCAGTTACTACAAGCATTTTCTTTATAAAGTGAGAATATATTAGTATGCTTGCAAATGGGCAAATAAAAAAATAATTGGTAAAAGTCGTTGAGGACTTATGAGGAAAAAATTATTGATAAAAAGTCGTTGAGGACTTCTGAAGAAAAAAAAGTTGATAAAATCGTTGATGACACTTGTAAATGATGAAAAAAAGTCGTTGAAGACTTGATAAAGTCGTTGAGGACTTATGAAGAAAAAAGTCGTTGAGGACTTTTGAGGAAAAATTATTGATAAAAAGTCGTTGAGGACTTATGAAGAAAAAAAAGTTGATAAAATCGTTGAAGACACTTGTTAATGATGAAAAAAAGTCGTTGAAGACTTGATAAAGTCGTTGAGGACTTATAAAGAAAAAAGTCGTTGAGGACTTTTGAGGAAAAAATAATTGATAAAAAGTCGTTGAGGACTTTTGAGGAAAAATTATTGATAAAAAGTCGTTGAGGACTTATTAGGAAAAAACATTTATAAAAAATCGTTGAAGTCTGTTAAAGACCTCGAAAAACCACTCCGACAAAAAAAAAATTAAAAGACAATAAAGAATGAAGGAAAAAAAAAAAGATAAACCGATAAAAACAATAAAACGAAAAAATAAAAAAGATAAAAAGTCGACGATATAGACAATAAAGACAAAAAAAGAACAATAAACCACGACCACTCGAAAAAAAAAATAATGGACGTCAGCTTTTTATGGCCGGAAACCATTTGCTGCCTAGAAGAAACAGTTTCTCTCAACTTTCTTAAAAAAAAAGAAAGCACTTTTCTTAAAAAAAAAAAAAAAAAAGAACGAGAGAAGTCATAGCTTCCGCTCCTTTATGCGGATAAACGTCTAGACAGTAGAAACAAGACATACTAGCAAGGTTTTAAACTTACTATGTAACGATGAAATTCTTGACACTCGCGCAAAGGAAACAGCTAAAGGAGAAAAAAAATTTCAAGTTGCAAGAAAGTTCTACCTTCTTACGTCAGACGTTGCAAACGATTTACTAATTTTACTCAAAGAAACGTGGAATTCAGATCTCTGATTGGTTTGCTCATCTAATTTGGCGCTATGACGTTAGTAGGTTTAGGTATTTTAACAACCAATCATCAAATAGGTAGATTCTAATACAAATTGCACAATTTATAGCTAATCAACATTTATTAATAATTTGAGGTTCTCATAATTACACGAAATTATACTAAGCATTTAATATAATTCTTGTTGATAAACGTCATAAAACTAATGATAATTCGAATCCTATAAAATAGAAAAATTTTTTTTCGATACTAATAAAATAACAAATCCTCCTAACTACAATTCTTTCACCATCATTTTCTGCAATCGATTTTCCAATTGGATGAAAAGATGATGAACCTCATTTAAAGGATCAATTTGTTCTCCTGCTCGAGACTTTTCCCTATTTAAATAATCTTGAGCGGCAAAGATTTGCTGGCGAATATTTTCCATATAATAAGCGAAATCATTACAAGAAGTGGACGAACCAATTGTCAATGATGATGCATGATTATCATAGATGGAAACAGCCGTTTGAGAAATATTTGCTGGTAAAATATCAACCACACTTTCAGGATTAGATGAATATGTATTAATGATAGGAGAAGTGGTTCCTGATAAACGATCATCGCCTTCGGACCTAATATTGTGCTGTGGCGATACTGAGGAGGATATTTCTCTTGGATCCGGACCTGTTACAATATTAGTTTCCAAAGAAGCTTTGGTAAGAACCACCACTTGCGATGAAGTAGACTGAGTTAGTTCACGTGGAGTTTTTGGTGATAAGACATTAGCCAGAGGTTTATTTGAAGAACCTGCCGCTGCAGCTGGTTGTAAAAATTTCTGTTGAGAGGAAAACGAACTAGTTTCGTCATGAATTGAAGGACTAATGGTAGATGAAAGAAATTCCTCATCCTCATCCTCATCCTCATCCTCATCCTCATCATCCTCTTCTTCTTCTTCAATCCTTGGTAACTTAGGTAGATTTTTTGAAAAGAATAAACCTTCTTTCAGATCAAGATATCTTTCAATCGCATTATACAGATCATCATTTTGATGATGAGCGACAAGAGCATAAAATTGAGATTTACAAGAATAGATTGATTTTGGATAATGGAGAATTTGTCCACAATCTTTACTAAATTCCCTCCAAAATAATTTTCTATTCTTACTAAATAACTTATAATTGTCACAAACATAATTAACCAATTCAATTTCTTCTTCAATATTCCATAAAGGTTTTTTAATAATAATATGCTGACCTCGCGATTGTTGTGCCGGCTGTTGTTGTTGATCAACAGATGCAGGAGTTGATGTTATTAATGAGGGTGGTGTACGCGTAGCCGAAGGTACTTCAACGATAGTATCAACTTCTTCAATGTTTTCATGAAGATTGCTAATCATTGTAGTTGCGTCAGTAACGACAGATGAACTCGTTTGAGTATCATTATTGTCAGAAGATTGTTGTGAATTTCTATTTCTATCCTCCCTAGGACATTTTTCACGTCCGCAGAATTGTGGGAATCCTTTTCCTCCAAGAAGAACCATATTTGAAACTTTTTGGAATATAAAAGAAAATCTTGGTAGTTTTTATTTCGATGTTTTGAGAAGAGCCTTATAAAAACGAGTAACTGGAAGCTAAGATCGAAAATGAATAGTACTTAAGACAAAATAAATCGGTACTTATATTTATGATTATGACCATGATGTCACAATCGACATTTCCAATAATAAATTTTTTTACCCGATATATACGCATAATCGGAGCTATATCACAATCAATCTACGATCAGAAAAGTATTCCAACGACCACATGAACAATTTAAAACTTTTTTATCTCTTAAATCAGTCGAATCGATTGGAACTAACTTATAATTATCATTCAGCTTATCAGCACCTAGACCCAGCTGTCCATATTTTCCTATAATTAGGATAGATTTACACTTAAATCAAAAAATAAAAATTTCAATGTCCGATTATTTATAAAGGTCACATACCCCATCCACAACTCCATAATCTGAAATCATCTATTTCGAATTAAAACGAGTATATGTAAAGTCATTTATATCATAAGTTACATATTATATTTGTTTTTTTAATACCATTTCTTCGCCCTTTAATTTACCTGTAATAACAACTGTATGAGCGCTCCCACAAGCCACTTTCAATACATTCAATTCCTCATTATTCTCTCCAAAGAACTCCACCAGCGAAGGTTCAGCACAATTCATTGTTGAACCCTCTTCAAAGGAAATACCCAATCTCCCAAAGTGATTCCATCCAAAAGTATATAAATCACCCGAATCTTCATAATTTTATTAAATAAAGTTGAATCTCACATCATCTCACATGAAAAAAGGTAAAATCAAAGAATTCTATTGTTAAACTACGTACCAGTAATTACAGCTGAATGCCACCCTCCACAAGAAATTTTTTTCACTCGCAACCCCTGAAAAAATTCAATTACCGTGGGTTTTTCTGATAAATCTGTTAATTCTCCATGCCCAAGCTGACCAAATCTTCCAGATCCCCAGCTATACACTTCTCCATCTTTAGTTAACGCCAAACAATGGTTCTCTCCACAAACAACATTTAAGAAAAATGGATTTAAATTCTCGCTTTCATCAGAGAGTCTTATTTCATTTGGTTCTTCATTATTTTTTAAATTTAATTTCCATAACTTTCCATCCTCTTGAATGAAATAGTATTTTTTTTTTGTTGTTAATAATTAAAAGGGTAACATCCTTATATCATATTATGTACCTGTTACGACAATTACATTATTTCCGGTCCACATTTGATCAACGTCAACACACTTTGCAGAAAATTTAAAAATATTTTCAGCCCGTCCATGAAGCTTTCCATTAACGTCTAAATATCCCTGAATCCCATCATCATCTCCAAAACATTTTACCAAATTTTGAGCAGAAATGTGAATCATTGAAGAGGGTGATACAACTTTATTTTCTGTATCATTGAAACCCCAATATATCAACTTTCCTTCACTACAACATAAAATAGATCTTTGATGAGTAAATCAAGAAAGATACAAAGATTCTAAAGAATTGAAGATTTTTGAAGATTTAACTAACTTGTTATTTATGCCCAAAGTTGAACTCATATTAGACCAAATGATATTATCGCATTGTATACCCTTTGTAATATCGCTCGGAATACTTATAATATCATCATCACTTTCCGGGTTTGTTTGTCGAAAGGAATTATAACCGAAAGCATAAATTTTCTGCATCTGCGATTATTTTAATCACGTGTAAGTTATTTTCTCAAGATACAGAATTAAAAGATATATGATCTAGTGTTCGTTTTTCTCAGACTAAGAATACTCAACATTCGTTTATAAAAACGCTTAGGTAATACATGCTAATTTTTTTTAAATCATAGAAAAACCGATAAATATTACCGCCAGAAAAAAAATTCTTACCTATTTTTTTTTTTTAAAAAAAAAAGGTTCAGAGAAAAAAAACTTTTATTAGATTGATTATCATTATCACCACTTAAATCAACTAAGATAGATATACTTGGAAATGATTGGCAATATCCAATTAAAAGAATGAGACGTAAAGAACGATATGTAATTTTAAAGTTGTAATTAAAGTTTAAAAAGCTAACTATTTTTTTTTGTAATAAATCTAAATGATATATAAAAATAAAAAAAGATTATTATGATATATAGTATAAAAAAAAATTAAAAATTTATATTATATATAAAGAATTTAGTAATATTATCTAATCTATCTAATCTTTTATCTTTAAAACTTATAACTCCGAATGTTAGAAATATATTTTTTTTAAAAAAATTGTTAACGATGCAGTTTTACGAATGTTAAAAATATGCTTTTATATTTATTTTAAACCTCCCTAAAAATATTTAGTAAAAATTGAAGTGCAATTATTTAATAATAATACATCAAATTTTTAAATTTAAGTATAGAAAATAATTCAATTATGACATTGGCATCTTTGATGAGCAGTAGAAACAAAATTAAAGAAAACACATCTTCCAAAATGAGATAATTATGAACCGATGGCAATACATTATGAATTTACATTTATTGATATTGAATTTAATCCTTCTAATAGTATATATAAATCAAAAAACTTTTGTCCTAAAGAATTTCGGTCTTATATTTGGAATCTAATGAATAAAAACCTCTATTAACACACTTTAATTCCAAATATATCTCAACAAAATCCAATGTCTGATACAATTAGAAAGCAAGCTGTTTTAGAAATATATACTTTTTGTAAGAAAAATTCATTTATATAAAGTATGTCATATATGTAATGTGAATAGTATTCTTAGAATAGATAGATACTTTGGACATATTCAGCAATCTATATTAAAGACAATAATGTTTGTTGAAAAACACTGGAAAGTTCTTAAAAGAGACTTCTTATATAAGTTTTTTAGTTTACAATTGGATCTTTTAGTGTATATATTACTTGAAAAATTGATTTTTCACTAAAAATGCAAGTTTTAACAGCAGCTTGGAAAAAATCAATTAAGTTTGAATGGAAAATACTAGCTCAAAGACAACTGGACATAAATAAATTCAACAAATATTGTACTAATATCAAAAATTAGGTTTGTGGATACTTATATTATCTTACAAATAGATTTATGTTATCATCATCAGAAATCAACCTTACTATGCCAATCAGCAGTAATCTATGAAATAACAACATAATAAGTATTGTGTCAAATGATTTACAAAACTCCTGATTTCCTAGATTTTTAGGATTTATCTAATTCACTGGATCTACCTGATAAGTCTTATAAGCTGAATAATTGTTATAACGCTTATTTTCATTATTTTAATTATTATTGTTATTATTGTTATTTTTATTATTTTTATTATTATTATTATTTTTATTATAATTATTATCTTTATTATTATTATTATTATCATTATATTAGCACTTATAATTACAAATTTAATTAGTTTATAGCATAACAACTAGTTGGCTATAGCAAATTAATTTTGTATAAATAGAATAGCTTTTTGCTTAAGTTATAAATTAATTCTATTATGAATTTTAATTTTATTACAAGTTCAAATAATAAATAAAGGAATTAACTTTGAAAAATAATTACTTTTTCCTTTTGAGTATCCATCATCTAGGATTTAATTGTAAATCATTACATTAACTTGTTTTTAAGTTCGTCACTTAGAATAAATAAATTCTATATATTTCTTCTAAGTTTCTAAATCTTTAAATTCATAAAGTTAAGCAAAGTAATTCTAAGGCATTTCAGATACCTATAAGACACATGGGTTGTGATCTAAGAAAATCAAGTTCTGAGAATTTTTTATCAAAATTAAGATTTTAATTACATTTTAATTTTTATTACATTTAAACTAAAATGTAATAAGATATTAATTTTAGTCAAAAATTTCTCAAAACTTGATTTTCTTAGATCACAACTCACATGATTCCCTAAGGTTGTAAAGTTCAATAATAAAAACTTACTTATCACAATAAAGTAACTTAACGAAACACATGTGATAAATAGAATTATTTCCAGTAATAATGTTATGTAAATATCTTATAAATTTATAAAGATCAGTAGATTTTTCTTTATTTAAAACTATTAGACATAATAATTAATAATTAATATCTATTTTTAATTTTAAATAAGACTCATATATATATATTAAATATATATATCTATATCATTAACAGAAAAAATAATATTTATAATAACTGTAAAATAAATAATATTAATAATAAAGAAACTAATAATACTAATATATTTAAAAATCTTATAGATATAATATAACAAATACTTAATTTACTTGAGAAACAAAAGTAATCAAGAAATTTATTTTGTGTATAAGAAGTTAAGCAAAATTTAATATAATCAAGACTATAGTTTATAAAATAAATTAGTATAAATGTCAAAGAATTATATCATATATTTAAAAAAAGTCATATTCATAACACTTGTTATTTGAAATAATATAAGTAATTTAATTTATTAAAATATCATTTTGTAATTTTTGAAATTAATGTTAATACTGTTAGACCTATCTATAATTATACTACATATAATCACATTCTTTATATTATCACTTAATTTTAATGTCTCAAATTTTTAAGACTAATATATACTTTTTATAATTACTATCATATGGAAACGTTTTCAGTAAAATCAAGTCATAAAGCATAGTAAATCATATGATCCATATTGTGATTTTACTGAAAATGCTTCTATATGCTAATCACTATAACTAGTATAAAAAAATTTTAGATTTAAATTATTATAAAATAAACTATATATTATAATATGTCACATAATCATTTACATATTATATATTATAATTAATAAATATAATTATCATGCCATATGATATAAACGATTTTTTTTTTGATATTTTTATTGATATCAAAAAAATAAACTACAAATTAAGTTTTTTATATCAGAATAAGCTATATTAAAATAATTTAAGCTAGTAAATAAAAATATACATATTATTATTTTTATACATTTGTAAATTATTAGTATTATTAATAAAGATGGTACAGCAATTGATTTCAAATTTACAAAATGTTACAACATAAGCTAAAATTAGTTGCAACATATATAGGTTAAAACTAATTGCAACATAAGTTGCAACATTAAAAGTTGCAACATATTAATTACAGTTCCTATCTTTAATTATTAAATATATATAAACATATATTATTAATTTTATTGATCTTAGGTATTATTTAATTTCTGAAATGAATGACGAAATGGATCTTTATATTATTAAAACTTAATGTTTTAGTATCAAATCATTGTACTTATCTATTTTTTTTCAAAAAAAAATAATTTTGCTAAATATAATAAAGAAATATATAATTTGTAATTCAATAATAAATGCTTAATCCATCTAGCAATATTATAAATATTAGATAAAATATAATAAAGAATTTGGAGTTAATATATTGGCCAAAAAATTGTTGATACTTTAAAATTTAATAATTCTAAAATAAATAAAATATTAACATACCTGCTTCAAATATTATTAGATGTTTAAGTCAAAATCGTAAAATTACACAATAACTTATAAATATAAAATCTCTCATTTTTTTTTTGCTAAATTTAATAATTATTAATGATCCTTTTTCCTTTTCAATAAAATTAATATAAAACATCATTCTTTTTTTTTAAAGATTTTATTTTTTTCTTTGTCTTTTACTATATTGCAATAACATAAAAAATGATAGCTATCTGTAAAGAGTAAAATATAAAATTTGTAATTATTAAACCAAAAATCTGCACATATCTCATAAAAATATTGCAATATATTTTAACTGATTTTATAACTTATATATCAAAAGAACAATAATTTCTAAGGAAAAAAAATGATGGTTTTCTATAGCAAATACTTTAATTTTAACTTATAAATATCATAAAGTAAAATATCCTTTACTTAAATAAGCACTTTTTATTTGAATAAAATAAACATTATTAAAAAGCTTGATTTAATCAGATAATATTTTATGAGAAAAAGCTAAATAATTTGTACAAATTTTATATGTAGCAGAAAATACGATTGGATTTTTAATGGTTAGTTAAATGAATTTAATCTTAAAATAATTTAATAAGAAATAAATACATAGAGAAATAAATAGTATGCTTTTATCTAAATTATCGGAATTATAGGCTGAATCACAAGAATTAATTTTTAAGTATAATGTAAGTGATAGGGTTTTGCAATTTGATTTGATATTTGAATATTTAAAAATCAAATCAAATCAAATACAAATTCAAATTTATATTTGATTTGATTCGATCAAATTCAAATTAATTCAAATTGATTCGATCAAATATTTGAGTTCAATTCAATTTTATTTGATTCAATTTGAAAAAATCAAATCAAATTCAAATTGCTTAAATATTTGATTCGATTCGATTTTGAGAAACTCTAGTAAGTGATATATTTAATTGGGCTTTTTTATCATATGATACCTAATCAAATACTTGCATCTGGATCAGTTTCTAAAATAAAAAAGATAATAGAAGTATTTTTTTATATTGATATTATATTAATTATATATTACTGTATGATTTATACTAATTATATTTATTATAATAAGATAAAACAAAGATTACTATACTTTTAACATGTAACTCAAATAAACAGAAAAATTAAGCTACTTATAATTGAAAATACGTAAAGACCTCATTATTTATATGAAATTAATGTATATAATTTATCAGTCTCATATTATTAAAGCAAAAAAGCATAGATAATACAAAATATTTTTCGTTACTAGATTAAAATTTTTGATAATAGATTCTGAAATCAAAATCTGCAATTTTATTACTATTAGATAATATTATATTATATTATTAATCTATCAAAATAGCATTTATTTATAATTATTTTTTATTATAGTATTATTAATTTATCATAGTGTTGATTTTATCATTGTGTTTTATTTATATTTACTAATTTTAAATTGATTTATTTACTATAATATGTTAAAAATTATTTTTAGATTAATGGTTCTGATGAAACTTCAGACGTAAAATTATTATATATAGCTAGAAATAAAAAGAAAAAGGCTAGGCTGATTAGTCAAACTTTAAATTAAAAAAAAGCTTGTCAATTTTTGGTGATTTATCTTAATCATTAAAACTTACAAATATTACAATTAGATATCTTTCGTCTAATATTATTTCTCATTTACAACTAATAGATCAGAGTATAATTAATAATTTTAAGATTAATGATAACTTAAAATTAATAAATACAAATATATTTATTTTATCACTAATAATCATTTAATTTTTTTTAAATAAGTTAAATACAAATAATATTATTGTTGATATTTAATAAAGCAGTTGATAATAAGAAAGATATAAACTAGTAAATAATATATTTTTTTAATTATTGCAAATTTATAATAGCTATAACTAATTTTTTTATGATAAATTAAGAAAATTGAATTTATTAGAATTACTAGAAGCAATTAATTATCTGACTGATATATAGTTAGATATATTATAAAATATAATTTCAAATTATTAGACTAAAGCAAGGATTCTGTCTTTAGTAGATCATATTTAAAGAGAAACAGATTGACATGAAATTGAATATTAAATTTGAAGAAATTGAAAAACTTTTTGAAATTTTATCTGACATTACCACACTATTTTTAGGTGATATTGATTACTACTTAAAAAAATTGGAAGAATTACCAGTTAAAGAATTTTTAAATGATAAACAAATTATTGAAAATGTGATTAAAGATCCTAATGAAAAAATTATATCTGATAGCGAACCTGAACTGAAAATAGTTGATATAAATGAAGTAGCATAAGATTTAAAAACCTTTATTACTTTTTTTATCTAACAGCCAGATAATTCAGGTTTTTGTTATGAAGATTTAAAAAATTTTAACAAATATTCAAAATTAATAAACTTCAAACTATTTGATAGTAAAAAACAAACTTCTATCAATTCTTTTTTTATTATAATGGATTAATCTTTTATTAGTAAATAAAATTTAATATTTTTTGTTGTGATTAATATATGTATTATGAAATATTTCAAATGAAATTTTATATAATCACCACAATATAATTTTTAATATGAATAGTGATTATAGATAAGGTTTTATTATACAATAAAACCTATTTATAATTACCAATTTTTGGGTAGTGATTATAGACAGATCTGACTGTACAGTCAAAGCTCTTTATAGTGAAACCTTGGTTCTAATCATTTTTGTTCACTATAATGAGATTTATTAAGAGTTCATATATTGAGAAAAATTTATTATAAAAAATTGATTTGGTGAATTAAAAATAATTCTCTATAACGTGATTTTACTATAACGAGATTCACTATAACAAGCTTTGACTGTAATTATTTCTTAAAAGTCTATAGTTAGAGGTTATTTACCGTTGTATTATATTTAGTGGATTATTACATAGAAAAAAGAAATAAAGAATGCAAAAATTTACAATAAAATTTGCTAAATTTTAAATTTATAAGTTTTAATATACAATGTTTTGTTTTTATTAATTTATAAACGTGGTACAAATATTTAAATTCAGGTAACAACTTGTTTGGAAATAAAAGTAAAAAGTACTATAAAAATGTTCTATATTATTTTTAGTAAATAAAATGCGCAAAGATTTTCATTGTATGCTGTATTTTTCATTTCCTGCATATACGTTAAAAAATAAGATTTGGTATGGGAAAAACCTGATAATACATATACACAGAGTATTCACGTTAATTGACAAGTAGACACTTTAATAGCACACATCAGTTCATGAGGAGCCTCTACTTTGTAACGGTTGCCACTCGGGAAAACAACCATTAGCCCTTTATCTAATGACATTCTTCTCAACTTCTCAGGATATAATGAACCACAGGCGATGCCGATATATTGTTTTCCAATCAAATCTTTGAATTTCACACTATCCGTAGCTTCAAGCATATTCGGAAACTCGTTTAATCGACTAATAATTTTTTCTACATGTTTCTGAATCCAAGATTTATATAAGTGAGCCAGGTTATCAATAAATCTACAGGAATTTCATAATTCTTTTATACATACATCTGTCATTTGATGTTTTTCCTCGATTAAAAACACTTTATTGTTGCAAATGAGGATCCCATCCCACTCCATGAGCGGAGTTTTGTTCTTAAACATTATCCGTTCTGGAAAGATTTCCACAGGTGACTTAATCATTTCGTGAAGAAAGGTCTTTACTGCCAGTAACGATTCGTTTTCCATAACCTTATCTTCAATTTGCGACCATGTAATTCCCTTTCTGACCACTGTCAGATGGGACGCATTTATTTTATATTTTTTACCGGGTAGTATATATTCGAAAGAGGTAATAACCGCTGGTTCATCATTGACATCGGATATAAGTTCCAGTCCTTTCGCTTCGACACTCTTTAAAAAGAGTCGATATTCGTTATTGCTATGCATCGTATATTTTTCAAATTTCCCAAACAGTTGTTCACCCTCATTGTTGTAAGATTGAACAAGGAAGGTCTTCGGTTCGTTTTCTAATATGTTTGGGAATATACAGCGCAGACGTGACGATTATCAAAAAGGTTACGAGTCAAGTTCGTGTTGACCAATCAAAGGCTTACCTTGATATTCTAAATTGGGTTAGGAGACCAAAAAAAGGCAAAGTTAAGTTAGTTACTGCATCATGACCAATCACTATGGTGCAAAGACTTACCTTTATTTCCTTTATTTTCGTTTCTTTCACCTAAATTGAATTAGAAGTTAGTTACAAGAATAGTGAGTCTTTTGACGAGTAAATAAATAATACAGCTCAACTTACAGCTCATTTTTAAAGCTTCATTAGCTTGTTCAGGTGAGGCGTCCGGAAAAAGTTTTTTATATTCGTTGAGAAATTCTAAAACGTTCATGTTTATTTCAGTTTGTTATAGCTATATAAAAAATGGATTAGTTTGGAAGAAAATAAATATAAGAAAAATGAGGTTTATATATTTTATATCTTTATCAAGCTATGTGAGCAAGCGCATCAAGCTCGTCTTATATCTGAATAAACTTTTATCAAACTTCAAATTTCATTAATTAATATTAGAACGTGTTTTGTAAGTCCGAAGCTACAATACATCATTAGTTATCGTGAAAAATATCTACAAATTACATAATATCTCTTACTACATCATTAAAATATTTATTTATTTTCTAGTAAGATATAAATGTGGGAATGTAAAATACGAATTAAAAAATCAAAATTCAATATGTGCAAACTTTATTGATAATTTCAGATTCAGAAATTATAGAGATAACGAATGAAATGTATGATGCTATCAAAGAGGGAGGGAGTACGCGGATCCTAGGCCATTTAAAGAATCAAATTATTTCTTTGCTCTCTCAAGTTTTCGAAAAGATTCTACAGTTAATTTATTTCTATCAATATTGCTAATATTTTTAACTACAAGATTCTCATCCCTATCCCTTAGGTTATAGGTTTTTGCAGGCAAATTTGCCTATAAATTCTCCTCTGATTTACTTTTATAAATAATTAATATTTTTAAAATTCTTTCTTTTAAATTAATTTTAATAAATATATAATATATTATGTGTTTAAAATCATGATAGAAAAATAATATATTTTTTAAATATTAAATTTTATTAATATAAATAATTGAATTTTTTTAATTAAATAATAAAATAATATTATATTTTTTTTAAATAATTTACTTTAAATTGAGTTAAATTTAAATATAATTCAAGTTATATTAAGTTAAATTAAATTAATTTAAATATAACTTAAGTTGAATCAAATCAAGTTTAGTTTTAATATAACTTAAATTAAGTTGAGTTGAATTGAGTTGAGTTGAGTCAAATTTAAATATAACTTGAGCCAAGTTGAGTTAAAGTTTTAAAATTTTTTGATTCGTCTCAACTTGAGTAGGGCAAATATGGGGTTTCTAGGACAGATTTCAAAATAGTACTCATAAAAGATTCCTGACCGCCTGCGAACCAATTCTAGCTATATGAA